CTTTCTTTCTTTCTTTCTTTCTTTCTTTCTTTCTTTCTTTCTTTCTTTCTTTCTTTTTTTCTTTCTTTCTGTCATCTTTTTCATTATTTTGTCTCCATCACTTACTGTACGTGTCTGAAATTTCCTGATTGCATTTAACATCATAAAGTCCTTCTAAACATCACGCTATAGAAATAGTAACCTGTGTAAATGCTCTTTTCTAAATAATTGAACCCCTCTTGTGTCCATGTCAACATGTAGGATCCAGAACACTTTACAATGTGTCTTTTTCTCTGCTGCGTATTAATGGCATCACATGTTGCTTCCATTATTTCTTTAGCTCCATTCTGTACTTTCACTAGTTTTCTGTTGTTCCACTTGTCTATCTCGATGAATCCCTGAGTACACCCCTTTAACTCAAGTTATTGAGAGACGAAAGCAACCCTACGTTCTCTTGGTGGATTTCAGAGGAAGTGTCATAATTTTATTACTCCTTTAAGCTTTGTATAGGCTTTTAAACATTTGAAACTGCTCAAATGTCTTGAGTTTTCCTATTAGAGAGTTTAGGTACGAGTCCAACAGTAGTGGTTTGCTCTCTCTGTCTTATGTTCTACCTATTTCCTTCTATCTGCTTATTACAAAGTTGCTCTCTGTCTCTCTTTCTCCAACAAATGCTTTTTTGAATTGGCTATCTAACAAGACTAAATGTTATTTTAATGAGCCTAATCAGTACACCAATCTGACAGAAAATCAGGTTTTAGTCAAGTGTTGTTCGTCATAATAACTCAAGTGTGAATAATGCAAAATCAAGCATGTTTTATTGTTATTTTGGTCCTTGATCATTATTCAGAATGCTCCTGTAAACCTTAATATTCTATTAGTTAAATTGATTGGTTGTAGAGCAATTGTTTGGTAATCTTTTCAGGATTTTTTTCTAATTTGCAAGCTTAAATTTTGTGTAAATGGTGGACATGTTGTTGTGATTATGTCCCCTGTTTGCTGCTCTCCTTGGAGTGTTTTTTTTAAATCCTTCGTATCTGTGACCCAGGCTGTTCTTTCATTCTTGTCCGTTTCTTTCACTGTTCTTCTCGCTTTCTTTTTCCATCTGTGATGTGGGGTCCTGCTCGTGTTTGATCTGTCCCTCCTTCTCCATCTCCATTTCCTGACAGGTAGCGTCTGGCACTATGTTAGAGCCAGCGCATCCTACACCCCCTATTTACCTCCCCTGTGCGACCCCAAGGATGGCCACTTGCTTGTGGATGGTTGCTATGTTAACAATGTCCCAGGTCAGATTTTAAACACCCACTCACCAAAACCCCCTCTCCCCACTCGTCTTTAAGTGGAGAACCAACCACTTGGCGACCCTCCTTTTTTTTATTCTTCCCAAGTTTTCACCTGTAACTAACCCTTATATGACCAGGTGGATACTGGGAGTCCATGGTTTGGAAGGAAAGACGTAAACCAGTTAGTGCTTTCTATTTTACAAATTATGCACATCCTATCGGGCTCCCTTTGGTTTGTAATGCATTTAAAATACTGTTGGCTCAATGCTATGTGGCTAATCCAGCAATGCAACATGTCACAGATCTGGGATGTAGATAGGTTTTTGCGGTATTTTCGGGGTGTCCGAGAGAAGTATGTTTAACAAGTTTCTTTTGGATCTTTAAATTTCTACAAATGTAAATCTTAAAATTCAGAATGTGGCTCCTAAAGAATTACATCCTTGTGTACCACAACATTTGTGTGTGGAGCTTATGTTACCCAGTTTAGAAGGGCTGAGCCACATGAAACATCACGTCCACGTCATACATCTTCAGCTGTTGTGGATCAGTGTGTATTTCAGTGGATTTACATGTTTTTGTCCCGTGGACTGAACTACAGCTTGTTTCCTATGAGCGTGCCTTTCTCCTGTTTCATTTCAGTCATGTGTGCCTGTAAGAACATAATCAGCCTCTCCTGCCCAGCTCCTGTTCTACTCCCTTTCTTTTATCGGCATGCCAGTTCTTGTTGATAAAGTGAGCCGATCTCTATATTTTAATTCATTAATTGTAATTATCTGGCAATATGTGTTCTGGATCCTGCTGTTGCACATCTTTAGATTTTTACACAAACCAAAACAATCCCTTAAATCTGAGATAAATCTATACTGAAGGAATTGAGCACTCTACAGTAGGTGGTAGTCCCTGTAAGATCACATTTTAGTCAAATTAATCTGCACCCGTCACTTTTCTCTGTGGTGCTCCTTATCCTTCCAACCCATGCAGCGTCTGGCCTGCTTCTGCCCCCTGCTGGCTCTAACTAGACCTGCAGGACTGAAGAGGCTGGTTGCTTCTCTGCCATGTTCACGATCTGGAACCGCTGTCACATCAACATCTGCTGCTTCTTTGTCTCTAAACGCAGAGTGAATAAAGAAACTCAGTTCCGCTACCACTAGGTACCACTTAAACTTAACCGACAACTCATTAGTGGACTTTGCAAAGCTTAGAAAAAGAGTAAATATACGTGATTACAAGCGAGACAGCACTGTTGATGGGATGCAGTTTGGAGATCAAACAAACTTTGGTTCTTTGTGATGGTGCCGTTTCCTTTTTCACTGTTTGCACAAGTCACACAGAGCTTCAGTGCTTGGTAATGAGGTTTGAGCACAAACCTTTGCAGGGATCGATCACCTTGCCTTTGGCTGATGTCCCTGCAGTGTTTGGATTGTGGTCTGTGTCGACACTAACCTAAAAACGTTTAACAAACATTACTGAGATGTTATCCCCACCTTCCTCCTCCCTCCCTCCCTCCTCCTCCTCCCCCCTCCTGGTGTGCCAGGCTCTCTGTGGCGCTATGTGCGGGCAAGCATGACCCTCTCGGGGTACCTGCCGCCCCTGTGCGACCCCAAAGATGGCAACTTGCTAATGGATGGTGGCTACATCAACAACCTACCAGGCAAGTACAGGTGGTGACTTCCCACCCCCAGCCCACCCTACCACAC